ATATCAATGCCAGGGACCACCACAAAATCCTTCAGCTTCCGATCCAGATGACTGGGGCATAAAACAACAGAGCCAGCCGGGACCCGTACCTTCCGGGCTAAGGTCACTCTCGCCTCCGGAATCTCCTCAGCTCTGCCAAAATTCATCCTAATGGCCTCTCCTCCCAAGGTCAAGGTCCCATGCTCTAAATCTAGACGGGCCTTCCTGGCGTGAAGGAACTCCATGCCCAGCAACATAGGGTCCTGCAAGGGGGCTACATAAAGGTCAACCTCGTAAGTTTGACTCCCTAAACTCAAAGTCACGGGCCCCACTATGAAACCCTTGAGCTTGGTATCTTCACCAGCCTGCGTCATAGTTACATGTCTCCAGATGGGGGGCTTCGGATCCAAGCGGTCGTACACCTTCGTCGACAGGACACTAACCTCTGCCCCCGTATCCACCACAGCATTTACCCGCAAGCCTTGCACATATAGACTGACTGAGAAGCCTGTAGATGGGCGCAACTGTCCTATGGGCACCGTCGACTCGACCCCCTCATCCAATGGCGTCTCCAACTTAAGATTACCAGGGTTGGTTCGCCCAAAACCCTTTAACTTTCCTGTCCTCTCCTGGGCTGGTTCAAGAGGCTCCGACGTTGAGTGGGGGGTCACATGTATCCCCACTTCCTCGACCTCTTCCTCCTCAGCCGAGAACAGCTCTGGTGAGGGCGGCAACTCAAAGCTGACCTTCAACTTGGATCTAGGATTGGGGGTTGGGCATGCCCACCCCCATGGTTGATGTGAGCAGATGGGGGCACTTGGTAAGGCGTGCTTGTGGAGTTTGCGTATAATGGTGCAGACATGCCGGTATCCAAAGGCCACGAAGCTAGGTTGCTTGGTGATTCCGACTGCATCAACACAGGGGACACTCCCGCATTTATAGGGACTGGAGCAGGCATAGTGTGAGACATGGAGGTCCGGGGTTGCAAATCATCCCCGGGGAAAAAGGGCACACTGAAGTCTGCGAGTTTAGGCTGAGTCTGTACAGGCGTAGGGTTCCAGGTGAGCTCTGTAGCGCGAACAGGATCAAACTCAGAAATGAGCTGTTCAGGCCTCATAGGCCTCTGAGACTGTTGGTCGTGTTTGGAGGTAAGTGGTGTAGGCCTCATAGGCCGCTCGGTCGTCCAATCGCATTTGTAGGTGAGCGGTTCAGGCCACATGGGCCTCTCAGGCTGTCGATCCTCAAATGGTGTGTAGGGTGGAAGGGCGGGGTCAGGAGTGGGGTATACACCCCCACTTAAGCGGCTTGGTCGGAATCCCCTAGTGGCAGGACCCCCCAGGTTAGCTGTGTCTCCTACAAGGACAGGCTGGCTACTAGCCGGCCGCACATAACCTAAAGAATACGGTTCAATGCCGGAAGTCCGAGGAACCTCACTGCATTCATACTTAGGTGGGGTACTACCCACAGTGCTGCCAGGTGAGCTACACCTACACAGGCTACCTAAAGAGGACTCCAGAGAATCAGTGGACATCATCCCTGGTGAGCTAAATTGGGGCTGGGAAAACCGTACCTCCTTCCGTGACACACTCTCCTCCCCCCTGGGAATGCCCGAGTTCAGACCGGGCGTAAGTACAGAGGGACCCCCCCAGGGCAACCCCCCTCCCACACGGCCTGACCTTAACTGAGCAAATGGAGATGTGTGACGGGATGTAAAGCTCCCGCTATATACATAAGGTGAATAACCCCCTTCCCCGGGGTATCCCCCCACCCTACCCGGGGTGTGAGGAATGACATTTGCCCGCGTGACCGCCGGGATACTTCCCAGACCTAAGGCCGACGCGGCTTCCTCCAAAGACATATCCATACAATGTGAAAATGCAAAAAATAAATGTCAAATAAATCACAGCAATAATAATCACTTGCTATAAATGCAGATACAAATTAATTATGTTCCCCAAACGAAGTTGGGGAACATATTGTTTTTACTCTGTTTCTTATTATTATTATTATTATTATTATTATTATTATTCCTGGGAAAATTTTGTCCTTGAGTGATCTTGTAAACTACACATCTGACTAAGGTAAAATGTTTTTAGGGTCAGTAGACATGTTATGTAGATTTGCCGAACAAAGGTCATTTTGCGCGCACGTGCTTGCAAGAGCGCGCACGTGCAACACGTTAAATGGCCAATATAATGTATATTGCCTTAACTTTTCTATTTTTTGATGAAATGCTTTGAAACTCATAATGTAAGGATATATTAGTAGAATAGACAAGACGACATGGTCAAAATAGCAAGATCTCACGCGCATGCACGTGCGCTTTGCTCTGATTGGCTGAAACTAAAGTCTCAATATCTTTCTTGTTTTTTGACGAAATCCTTTGAAATTTTGAACATAGCCATGCATTACGATATCCTACAACATGATATATAGCAATTATCATGAAAACACGTGTATGCACGTGCGCTGCAATCTGATTGGCTAAAACAGGATGGGATTTGGAACATAGATATATATAATGGACTTCTACAAGAAGGTATGGTCACAATGCACATGCATGCACGTGCTTGTACGTGCCCTGAAATCTGATTGGCTGAAACTTTAAACAGCTATAACTCCTTTGGTTTTCAACCAAACAGGATGGGATTTGGAGCATAGATATATATAATGGACTTCTACAAGAAGGTATGGTCACCATGCACATGCATACATGTGCGTGTATGTGCGCTGCAATCTGATTGGCTGAAACTTTAAATAGCTATAACTCCCTTGGTTTTCAACCAAACGGGGTGAGATTTAGAACATAGATAGATGTAATGGACTTCTACAAGAAGGTATGGTCATCATGCTCATGTATGCACGTGCGTGCACGTGAAATCGGTAAAATAAAAAATACACTTGAATGAGCGTTTTTTTTAAAAACTTTTGGATTAAATACTTTAATATTTAGCGTATTAAAATATATAGATTGTGTAGACAATATGATATGGTCATTACGCACATGCATTTACATGCGCAAGTGTGCAATAATAAAATCTGAATGAACATGGTACACTTTTGGGTAAACGTTGTTAAAGTCTCAAATGCATAGAGTTTGTCTTATTTAATTACGCTTACAGCGAATATGACTATAAAAGGGAGTTGGGGAGCGTTTGGGGAACATCTGTAACGGTCCCCGTTACAATTAGCACTAGTTACAATTGATTCAAATCAAAATTCGATTGCAAAAAAAAAGTACACAAAAATCACCCGCGCATTCTGCAACAAAAATGGCGGCTGGGGTGATGGCCAAAAAAAAAAACTAACTTTGACAGAAGTACGGGAATCTATAGCACCGGGCCCCGCGAATTGGGCGCGCCAGTAAAGTAAACCCCAAAATAATGTGACAACGGTTTATTATATATATGCTACAATATACAACTCTATGCCGGGTGGGTCCTGGCCCGGGGGTTAGACTCACCAACTTCTAGTTGCGTCTTCTCTCTTGGCCATCGTCAGGGAGAAAGAGGCCCGTGCGACTGTCCCGCCATCTGACGTCACCTTGTCAGTAGGTCGTACCACGGGACAGTCGCACAGATACTACATACTGTACAAATGGCCATTGCATTAACTCTTTGAGCCTTTGGTTCAGAGGAGCTACAAAAGAAAATTGAATAAATACCAGCCTTGCTTTTTTTTTTTTGCAAAGGGAGCAAAAAAATAAAACAATTTTTCAGTTTTCTCTTAAATGAAAAAAATTTCATAAACTCATCCCTAAATTAATACAGTATTGGTACAGAATTCCTTCATAACAGGAAAGTTTATCTGGATGTTTGCTTTGCGGTATATAAAGAGTAAACTTCCTCAACCCAGGTTATACAGTATAACTTGGGTTGCTATTAAATTCATTCTTTAACATATGCCGATCAGTACGAGAGCTATTCAACAGCACTTTCCTGTGACCTTGACCCCCTTCTCTTTAATTTGTATTTTGCTTAGTTTTAAAGAAACCATTTAAGATATTTTTAGCTCTACTGGTCAGAGACCAGAAGAGCTTATGCGATAGTAATGCGTCCGTCTGTCTGTCTGTCTGTAAACAATTTTTCAAAATGCTACTCCTCCTACAGTTTTGGTCTGATTTCAATATACTTAGTAACTTGGTACACTAAGATACATAATTCTGTCTGTGGGTTTTTGATTTCAATGAACGGTGTTGCCGTGGTTACTAAAAATAGAAATTTCTGTGAAATTCTTTCAAAATGCTACTCCTCCTACAGTTTTGGTCTGATTTCAATATAACTTGGCACTCAAGTAGACTACACTAAGATACACAATTCTGTGTATCGGTTTTTGATTTCGATGAACGGTGTTGCCTTGGTTACTAAAAATAGAAATTTCTATGAAATTCTTTCAAAATGCTACTCCTTCTACAGTTTTAGTCTGATTTCAATGAACGGTGTTGCCGTGGTTACTAAAAATAGAAATTTCTGTGAAATTCTTTCAAAATGCTACTCCAAATACAATTTTAGTCTGATTATAATATAAATGTGGCATGCAAGTAGACTGCACTAAGAACAAAAAGAGACTTAATCAAGGATCATTATTCTATTTATTGCTGTTGAAAAGGTTCAATTTCCAACTGCTTAAGTACTTTTCTCTTCCTTTGCTATAAGTACAAACCAATAGAGCTTCAGCCTCAACAGAGACTACTGGTTATGTAAGCATGCAGTTATACATAACTTGGTGAAAATTTATATCCTATTTTTTAGATTTCAGTTTTGAAGAAACTGTTCAAGATTCTCACCAGACATCATACACTAATACAAATTTTCATACTGCATTAGTAAAATACACTCAGCAGGGCATTCCTGTCCTATGTATATATTTCTAGTTTATATTAACATCTCACCTTCATCTGAATATCAACTAAGTCTCAACAGGGTGAAAACATGAATTATATTCTTTTTTCAGTTTATTCATATCATATAACTATAATATATATGAAGACTAGTTAAATATGTAACAATATAAGCATGGGATTGGCTATGGTATTCAACAATAAATAATCATATAATTCAATATAACAAATATCTTATTTGATCTAAACAATGAGAATTTAAGAATTCCTTCAAATAGTTTATTAGTAAAACACCATTTAAAACAAATCGAAAACTTTAAAAATAACCTGCTAGCTTTTTTCCTTTTAAAATTGACATCAAGGTGAGAAAAAAATGTCCATTTGTGAATGTGTAAGAGAAAAAACTGTGATAATAAAAATCTAGCTTGTGTGAAAAATAAAATTCTGTTAAAATAATAAAATGTGTAAGGAGAAACTCCAATGCTTAATGAACATTATTTATGCTTAAAAAATCAAAAATAAAGAAATGAACACAATACAGTTGTACTATATTAAAAATAAATAAAACTTGAACCAGCACAAACAATCCATCCTACCATAGCCAATAGCACTAAACTACAGACTTAAGCTATAAATAACAGCAACAATTTATACTGAACCAGAAAAAATCTATGATATATACATCTCTGTCATGTACAATCTGGAAAACTAATATTTCTTTTATCTTCTGATATGTACATTATGTATAACCCTGTACAAACTGACTAAAAGCGTCAATCTTCTTCCTAATTCTTTGTTAATTATATCTTGAGAGATATGTACAATGACATTAGCTGCCTACAGAATATCACAGCACTAAGGAGAAATGAGTAATGGGTCAATTATGGCACTATCACAGACAGGTAAAGGTTGAGATTTCTAGGTGAGGGGGAGTCTCATCCTATCGGAAGGTACTTGAGGGGGCGGAGGTGGGCGGGGTGTCCTGCATGAGGGCCTCCAGCACCACAGGGACCTTCCCCAATCTCACCTTCACTGCTTCTGGAAGAATGTCAGTTCTCTGAAATCTGTTAAAAGAGAAATAACATTATCATTATAGTTTAAAATATTTTCATTTCGATTGACATAAATATTATTCATTTTTGTTTAAAATGAAACAACATTTAATTTTTTCCAAGATTAAGAGAGCAGCTTATAACTAATTTGAAATCAACAATTATATTTTTTTTAAAAAGTTTTCTCTATCTTACCTAAAAAGTTTCCCTTGTACATCCACATATTTAACTGTGGTAGTGGTTGGTTTCACCCCTATCTGGGTCCCATCATCAAACTTCACCCATATCTCTCCATTAGACAACTGAAAGCAAATAGCATTCACATTATAGATAACCTAAATAATTTGTCCTCTGTGACTTCAATACGTTTCAGACATCAAATCATTTCAAAACATGAATTCCAATTCAGAAATCAAAAAATTACCTGTGATGCCCATCCAATATCTTTGACAAAAACACTGCGTATGACGGTGGCTTTGCGTAACTGTGTGCTGCTACTGTGACTAGAGGTAGGACTGGTATTGGTGACTCTCTCACTCTGTAGAGTAGAGGTGGGGCTGATGTTTCCCAGGCGCTCCGCTATCTGTTGAGCCCTCAGTGTCTGGTCATGAGAGTCATCCGTCAGTCGTGAGGCAGAGGAGGGATCCACTAGCTCTGTTACAGTGCTGACCACTGTTCCATCAAAAGAAGACATCTGTAAAAGAGGAACAATAATATTATCCAGCTTCAAGGAATAAACAGGGAAAAGGAAGTAATAGAATACAGAAAGCAATGTTCTGTACTTACTGTAGGGGGCCTTCCTGATCCAGAAGAGGGGGTGCTGATATTGTCCATCCCGAGGGAACTAGGAGGGTCACTTGTAGAGTGAGATCTCTGAGAGTCATTCAGGTTCACATTTGGTCGTCGTCCGATGATGACGGGGAAGAACTGCTGGCCCTTGGTGCTGCACCTCTGTTGTACGGCCTCGATGACAGACTCCAGCTCTAGGCACTGCTGCCGACATTGTTTGACGTACTCCAGCAGCTGCTGTGTCTCCTCGGCCAGCCTCTGCTGGGTATCCCCAGAGTCCAGGACCAGCGAGGTACCAGTCTTCTCAATGATCCGAATGTTTGTGGAGTTCATTGTAAACTTAGCACCTGCAATGAAAAAATTGATTCTGTTAAGAAATTATCCTCCTCAAAATGCACATTTCACTTTTCAAGCAGCATGCAGTAAACTGAGTAAAGTGCAAAAAACACCTTCACAACACTATTATATTCCACAAAAGTAAAAAAAAAAAATATAAAAACAAATCTGAAACCAATTTTAAGCAAACACTATATAAAATAATAATAACAGATTTAAAAAATTCTTTTTTACATTTTCTACAAGGAAAAAATAAAGTTCACCAAATTACTTCAATAAAATCAATAAAAAAGAAAAGACTGAATATGTAAAATTACATGGTTTTATAAAGGATTGAAGATTTCTAATTATTTCTTGGTTTATGGATTATTCAATATATGATAAATATATATTTTTTAGATCCACAGCAAAAGGTGTTATTATGCTACACAAAAAGTATGAGTGCTCAAGGGTGACAGAAACTTGCTACAAGACAAACTTACTCCACGGGAAACACTCATCACAGTAATTAGTATGGTCATCTCCAGGAAAATTGCCTTGTTATAAAATTCACATAATGAGTTTCTTTGTAATTCAATTTAATTTTTCAAAATTATTCAATATTTTTCCAAGGGAATGTAAAAAAGATTGAAAAAATAGTATCACACTGTGTGATGTATAGAAAAAATGCACTCAGTAGAAATAACAAAAAATTGATCAAGTAAAAAAAAAAGTTATTCACTCTGGCTGAATGTATTATCAAAAGGCTTTTTGGGTAAGAGAAAAAATCTGCAAGTCTGAAAGAAAATGAAAGGGTGACTCTAAACACCTACCATCATAAAACACCGCCTCAAAGTCATGGTTCGGTGAATTCTCCATCAACATACACTTGGCTTTACTGGTGTAGATTGTCACTTTGGGTGTCTTGGATCTCACAAGCTTCACAAACCTGAAGAGATAAATACAAACATTACGATGTTGTTACATTTAGATGTCATTTAAATTTACCTTCTACAAGTTGCCCTTTCATGAAATAAAATAAAAATGTATAATGACTAACCTTCCAGCATACTGGTACTTTTTGAAGTATTTCTCTGGGAGCTCCTCAAAAGAGAACTGCTTTGAGGGAGTCTCTGGGAGGGGCACTGGGTGGTCAGAGACTGGTTCCCCTTTCCCGGAGTTTGGCTGGTAGACTTTGATGTTCAGGCCGTCTGGTGAGATGACAAAGACCTCCATCACTTTGTCTACCTTCTGCTTCTGTTTCACAAACTCCAGACACACCTCTCCATTCTCCATGATGTTCACCTGCAGGAATAAAAAATTGGGTGATTGCTAATGAAAAAAATATTCCTGTTCATTCTGATAATCAAAACTTTTTTTAACAATGGCTGAAAAAAATTCCCATGATTTCCATATTGATTTACTTACCACAGCATTCCTGGTTTTTTGGCGAATGGGACACAGTCTGACAGCAGAGAGTGGGGTAACACCTTTGTTGCCCATTTTTCATTAATGCAAAAAATTGTCTCAAATGTTCTGTGATTAAATAATGAAACTTTTTTTTAAGCAGCACCCTTTACACTTTTAGTCACCTCTGGCTTACTGAACTGTTCTGATTTGCTGCTGGCATTAGTGTCTATATCACTGCAAAAATCTTAGGAAACCACAAGCTGAACAGTTTGTAAGGCAAAATACATTTAATCACAGACTTACTCAGAGTTCTCCCAAACTGTGGCGCTGTTTACACGTAGTCCCGCTGCTGAGTTTGAGTTTTTATATTTGGTTTATATTGCTTGGCACTGGCACTACAGTGTGACGAGGAATTTTACAGTCATGTTTACTAGAATACACAGTGAACTCTTTGCCGTAAAGACACACTGGGAGCTATATGGCTTTCGTAAGCCATAAAAATATTCCTGTTCATTCTGATAATCAAAACTTTTTTTAACGTGCAGACTGTCACTCTCAAAGTTGAGCACTTTCTTGGTGTTGTACAGACTGAATTCACTGCTGTGTGAGGACAGATCACTGGCAGAAGGCCTGGTCATTCCGTGGCTGCTAGTGTCACTGTATCCATGCATGGCGGGACTGGCCACGGCTTTTGGGTCGTTGCTATGGAGTGACAGGCTACAGGACCACCCCGAGGAGTTGCTGGGTGTGTTGGACCTGTTATCCTGGTACTTGGCAGGATCAAACTGGGGCGGGGGCCTGTTGTTCTGCTTGACTCCATGGATTTCCTCTAGGCTACGCTCTACAGAGTAAAGCTCCATATTTCTACCTTTGTCTTGACTGTTACTTCTTAGGAACTGTTGTCTCTCAGTGCTTCTGTCACTAAAAATCAAATACAACATCAATTTAGATAATCTACTTTGATTGATAAGTCATCCTCCTCAACTAAAGATCTACTAATTTACAAAAATGCAAATAAAGATTAGTGTAATAAAATTTTATTGCAAGCCTACCATTTCAACTGATTAGCATACTAATGAATTTTTGAACATTTCACCATCTATGTCTTGAAAATGACAAGTATTTGTTTTAGAAAATCTATTAATATTAATGCAAATTAGCACACATGAAGCAGTGCAATATAACTGCCACAAAAATAAGTATGTTTATGGTACAAATAACAAACTTGTAAAGAAGAGAAAGAGAGCCTCACCTATCCCGCAGACGAACTGGAGGGGAGGGTGGATGACGCGACACGGCAGTACTTGGAGGAATTCTCTGATTCAGGTTAGCCACTTCATTCTCCTCATAGCTGAACTTCTTGTTCTGGAAGATCTTTTCAGCATCCTCAGAAATATGTGACTCCAGAGGAAATGCCTGAAAGGGGCGAGGCTTCAGGACATTGGTCATTCTGGAGGAGGTGGAAGTTGTCATAGTTGCCATGGTATCCCTTCCACTGTCAATTGATGTGTCACCAAAGTTCTGTAAAGCAGTATTTGTAATTAATTTTAACTATTTGTAAAATTCAAGCTTAGAATGTTTCACCATATATTTTTATCTACTAATGGAAATAGAAAAAAAATTGCAGACAGCATACCTTAGAAACTTTTCTGTAGGCCTCTTTGTCATAGGTCATAAAAGGATGCTTCAATATATCTGAAATTATAAATCATACACTTATAGTCTGTAAACAGTGACCCTAACATTCATGCAATATTTTTGATATGACTTGGTGTACTGTGTATTTTTTTATTTTTTTTTGAAGACATACCAGGGAGAGGTAGCCTCTCTTTGGGGTTCTTCTTCAGAAGAGACTGGATGAGGTTTTTGGCATCTTCAGACAAATGACTTGGGAGATCAAACTCAGCATGGATCACTCTGTTTAGTGTGCTCTTTACTGCCTCTGTGTCAAAGGGAGGCTTGCCAACCAGGAATGTGTACAACATGCAACCCAGAGACCAAACATCTGCCTCCAAACCATGGGCAGACCGCATGGCAATCTCACTGTAAAAATAATTATACTAATTAACAAACATTGATTAATTTTGGAAAACAATTGCTAAATTTACCTAAAAAACAATGCAATGAAATCAATTATACAAGTTTGTGCATGTTCAAACAGACTATAAATGCAGTACACCATTTCACCATCTAAAGTTTACTAATTAATCATTGAATAAACAATTTAATCTCTACATCATGTAATTGTGTGTATTTAATTACTTACGGAGATATGTAGTTTGGTGTACCACACATGGTGAAATGTTTCTCATCTGGAACTGTGAGCTGAGTTGCCAGGCCAAAATCAGCAATTTTCTGCAAAGAACATTTATATAACTTCAGAAATATGTGTCATCTTTGAATAATTTCTCTTGAAATTCTTTTTTTTTTTAATTCATTAGTTCTTCTTTAGAATGTTTTAATTAAATTTTTTAATTAAAAATATTTACCACATTCATATTTCTTGTGAGAAGAAGGTTGGCCAAAGTTAAATCTCGATGAAGAATGCCATGGGAGTGGAGATAGAGCATTCCCTCCACTATCTGTCTCATAAAGTGTTGAGCTGCAAGGAAAAGTTTCAGTGTGCAGTAAAGCTTAATAAAACAAAGACACTTTGCATAAATGTTCAGACATATTGATTTTTTCCTCTCTAATTCTGATCTGTTTGACATTGTAACTCTACTCACCTTCATCTTCTGTCAAAACCTTGCAGTTTGCCTTCAGGTATCTGTTGAGTTCTCCATTCAGGCAGATTTCTAGCACCAGATATACATAATTGCTATCTTCAAAGTAGTTATACAGCTGTAATATAAATTGATATAAAACATTAGAACATTAAAACAATAAAACATTTCAAGGAAACTACAGTTCTGAATCAATCAAAAACAACTGTGTAAAAGGCATACCTCTAAAATGGATGGATGTTTCAGTCGAGAGTGAATTTCAACTTCTTTGCGTACCCTAGCTACCATTCCATGTGCCTTCATTAACTTTTTGTCAATCTGTTAAAAAGAAAAGAAATTTCCAATGCACACAAAGTAGATAAATGTCCATTAAATTGATTAGAGTAAAAATTGTTTGTTAAAAATTAATTCACTTCTGACATGTTATATATTTACCATTTTAATGGCCACTTCCATGCCTGTCTTGTTGGACCTGGCTCTGTAGACACAGGCAAAACCTCCCTTCCCCAGGAGGTTCAGCACTTGGTAATCCTGTAATACAGCACAGACATTTTTTTTATCATCATTGTCATACTAATAGGACTTTTACAAAATTTGATGTGAAACATTGAAAATTGTTTCTTTGTAAATTTTTTGTATAATGTTCAATACTACTCTACTGTGTCTACAGCAATTGATAATTACAATGAAGGAGTTTTATTTTGTTAGAATACTCAGTTAATATTGAAATGATGTATGTGAAAAAAAATCATTTATGGGTTATACCTAATAGAATGTAAAATTGTGTTAGGTCTATTAATAATTTTAAAACAAATCTTAACCTCAATTGTTCCTATTGCCTTTTCAGTAAAGGGGTCAAGTTCTTCACTGTGTGGACAAATAACTTCTGTGTCATTTTGACACAAAACTTTACAAGGACAGGGGTCACCTGTATAATTTAACTGACACATGTTTGTTTCATTGAGACCACAAAATAATAAGTGAACTTTTAAAGTCAATAGTTGTATATTTATACAGTTAAGAGAGCGGATTATCTCCCTGTAATCTGACCTACAGGTCACTGCCTGTTACAGTGAAGGGATTAAGAAAATGTGTCCAGTCCTAGTTTGTGCAGGAATCAATTAAAGCAATAATCACTTAATTACAATGTGCCACAGTTAGTAAACAACTTAAGTCAATTAAGTACTTAATCCTGCATTCAATTCATAATTAATTAATTATTTGTTTAATTAATTAGAATATGTTGCTGAACTTAATAAAATGTGAAATTACAACTAATAATTACATTTATTGTACACATTCACATATTACATTATTTTATTCCACAAAACACTTTATCACAAATTACCATACCTCTATTTTTTCATTTGCATCAAACATAAATTTGGAATTCTCAACCTAACAAATTAAAAAGTTGTATTTTAGATGACTATAAAATTTATTTTAATGAACTTGTTAACATTTCTGAATTGATTTCGTTCTTCTTCTTCTTCTTCTTTTTTAATTTTTAAAAATGGGTTCTGGAAAAACATGTGGTGAGATCAGTTTCCTTAATTATTTTCCCCCATAGAATGTACTTCTTTACCTGAATAAATTTCAAACAAAGAGTATAAAACCTTAGGGGAGATAGAGCTTCTTGCTCACAATACACCTTGTTTTAATACATTCTTCATAGTCTTTTTTATTTTTGAGGATTCAGATTATTTCAATTGAGAGGATTTAATGATTTAAACACCAGATTTGTGGTTCAATGTATATTATTCAATTTTATTTAAGTGGTCATTTTCTTGCTAAATTCCCACAAATCTACCTTGCTTAACTACCTGTTGTCTATACACTAAATTTGGACATTGACAATATTTCACCCACAATTCTTTTCTGAGTACAAATGTAATGGTTCACTCATTTCTAAATCTAAGCACTAATAAATTTATATGAAGTACACAACATATGCAAATATAATTCAATATTTTATAATACACAACTTGTAGGTACAATCAAGTCAACTAAGCTCAACTGAACATTAATAGTTTATCATGTTTATTAGAAAAATCTCCACCTAAATGAAAACGTGTACTACATAAATTATAAAAGCAAGACAAAATATATACCAATATTCATCATGCTTTGTATGATAACAACACAGATATTGTCATATACAGTATGTCAATCATTTTTGTTTTATCAGCTGATTATCTCAGATTGGTCAATCAATATTGACCGGGTTCTTTTCTTGGTCTCCAACCTTCTTTCCTTTTTAAAGTTTTTAAAATTGTTAAAAGTATATTTCATACATGCATTATGTTTTGTTAAATTTTAAAGCTTTACTAAGGACAAAACAATACCAAATATATTTGAATAATGAACATAACATAATAAATGAAATTCCACAAAGAATTATATTTCTTTCTTTGGTTTAATAATATCTACCTAGGTCACAGGCCTTTGGATCGCTTAAAAAAAATTGTGTGTGTAAAAAAAAATAAAGGTACTGAACTCTTACACTGGGTACCTAATTTCGCTAATAAAATATTTTTTATTCGAATGCTCTAAAATTCTACTTTTTATTTAAATCTGGCATAGATAAACATTCTTCATTCTACCAATTTCCGAAATTCCATGTATTTCTTAAGATATTCTGAAATCAATTTCAAAAATGAAATGAAGGCCATTCACATGTAAACAGATGGTGTTTGAAGTGCGGCGAAGAGTTGCATAGTATTCGCAATATCTTTCAACAAGTTAAAGTTGATTCCTTACTCCAGAGTGGAATGTTAAGTCCGTAATAATATTCCTTTCGAAAAATTAATTTGAAAACGTCTACATCAACAACTACCGCCATGTTGATTATAAATGTGAATGAAGCCATGTCCATCACATTATATGTTGATTTTCAAAACAATTAGACCGCTAAAATGTTGTTTATGAATTAGTTACACCATATGATCAAATTAAAGAAAAACCTTGTAAAGCTTGAATGCAAATGAGCAAATATTCATTCAGTAACTATTTTCTTATTTGCTTTACAATTAGTGAACACTACTCTCGAGTAAAAAAATTATTGTCCTCGAGAAGTATAAGGAATTACGGAATGAACTTTGTAGTAATGAAGATTGTATATATGAATAGATATGTAGAAAGTAAAATTGTATAGCATTTGATTTAAAAGTATTGGTCTGAGAGTAAATTTTTTTTTTAAACAAACAAACTAAGGCCTGTGATCTTACAATACACTCCTTTACATGACTGTAATGACAAGGTATAAACAATTTCCTAATTGTAAAGTTTTATATGTAAAGGTTATGAAATTTTGTAGCCTTTAACAGAATCCACCAGTTTCTACATTTAGTTTTAACATGAGGTAAAGAAAAACCATTTGCAATTCAAATATTTTCCTTCTCAGAATTTCTTTTCTTGTGTGTCAGATATAAAATATTGTCACCCTCCTACAATTAAAAAAGAGCAGAATGAAAAATATGAATAAGAATTTTCTGTGGCCTTTAGGTCTTTATAAATCTGCAGCTACCTAGTACTTTTATCAGAATGAAATCAGAATTGTACTGGCCAAAAAATATGAGGGAAATGGACATTTTAATCATAAAGCAAACCTCCTATTTTTGTAAAAGTTCTACCAATTTCAAATATTTTGAAAGTGTTGGGCCTTATATTGTTATAAAAACAATTGATTTTATACATCATATGAAACTAATTTTTTATTACAGGTTTATATACTGTTATGCAACTACTTTTATACATAATATCATGTTATATAGAGACTAGGGATTGCCAAAAAATTGGTATTGAATGGACTGTTTAAAGTAATAAGATATTCTTTTTTTGCATTGTCATGCGTTTCATTTTTTTTAACAAAACATTTTCGGACAAAATTTAGTTCTGTTCAATGTGTTTATTGATTACAGAGAACTAAATGTCCTGTGTGATCCCACAAACATTCACATAGACTATCACATCCTTGATAAACTATCGAAATTAAGTAAATTGCATTACATTTTGCATTACAGGTGCTATACAGACTACAGGTACTTGTTTCATACACAGAATACACCCATTTATATTTACCACAAAGTACCTAATTCAACACCACCACCACCCCAAGTCAGTACTGTATTTGTTCAATTTACTAATCAATGATAAATCTACTTCAAAAAAACATCTATAGGTCACTTCTACAAATTTATTCCTCAAAAACTAATCCAGAATATTTTAAAATTTTAAACATGATACATCAACCTTAGTTTATACGATAAAACCAGAGACTTCAGAATGACAAGCTTGGAGGTTTCTGGTTTTATTCAAGACAACCTTATAAGCCTCATTGGAAGTTGTTGTATCTTGTTTAAATTCTTAAAATTTAAAATGTGATGAAACAATTTTCATTGAAAATTTTTTTTTTTTTGCATCAAGCAAGGAGTTAGGACGCCTAGAAAGATTTAATAAGAAAAGAGAAAGTATCTCAAAGCAAACAGCAGGGCTCGACATTAACGCTTGTCCAGTACCACTGAAAAGAATATTGGACAAGTGCATTTTAATGTAAAGGAGTCTCTAAATAATAAAAAGAATGACTGTTGAAAGTTAATTGGTAGTTTCATGACGAAAGCTGTACATAAAACCCGACTTCAATCCCGATAGGAATTGCTATCAATTAAGTTCACATTTGATCGGGATTGAAGTTCACTAGTTGCATACTATTGGAAAGACATGAAATTTTCCAAGTTTAGATTCTGTTTGATGTTGACAGTATTTATGTTGTCAGGACAGAAAGCCTAGATAAAATTTTGTTTTATGTGTTTGTTGTATTAACCAATGATTAGGGCTGGGACAATATATCGAGATATCGATATATCGAGATATCTGTGAGGATGATACGTATATCGATAAATATGAAGAAATATCGCCCCCAAAAACTGACTTTTGTTTTTCTTTGTTTACTTAACATTTGGGATTTAATATCTAAAATAAATTAGCTAACTATAAATATAGTTATGAAATAAATAATAATTAACACCACTTGAGTAAAATATTTTTGTTTTACAACATATAAACAACTATTTTGAATAAATTATTCTTATTTGCAAAGAAATAATTTGTTTATTTCAATGCAAAAAAAGATTTTATAAGCAATTAAACATATCGTGATACATATCGTATAGTGGCTCAAATATCGTGATACATATCGAAATACAAAAAGTTGTATCGTCCCAGCCCTACCAATAATCATGATAATATCATGAATCAATCAAAATTTATTGAAAAATTTTCGGGCAAGTGAAGTTGAAGGTCAGGAAAGTAAATAACAAGAGATCTTGGTCACTTGCCCTCCCTCTCCAAATAATTGACAAGTAGGAAAAAAAGTTAATATAGAGCCCTGAACAACGTCTTGTTTATGTACGTTATTGATTGTAAATAAAATATGAGTTTGAAGTAGGGCATAACAATGTCTTGTTTATGTACATTACTGATTGTAAATAAAATATGAGTTTGAAGTAGGGCATCTTCGCTAGCCAAGGGTTTCCGATCCAAAATCTACCCTACTACAGTTGTAGATTTCAGATCGGAAACCCTTGGCTAGCGAAGATGAAAGTAGGGTGTGGCTAAAACTAAAAGAGAGTTAGGTACTTTGTGCTATAAATAAGTAGGTATCCCTCAGTCACAGTGCCTGTAAATAGACAATGTATCTGTTTACTTTATAACTTGAAGTCTTCTTATAGTGTAAATCACTTTTTATTCTGCGAAATTTCATTATCAATATGCGTAATTGCAACATCTGCGAAAATTGAAAAACTCGCACATAATAGAATTATTCCTTAAGATTATATAGAGCAATAACCAGAATTCGTGAAAATTTTGTCTCGCTAATCAAGAGTCAATGACTATCTCGCGAAAATAAGGTGTCGCAAAAATTAACTGATCTACAGTATTTTTAATTGCAAAAATTTATCATACCATCATGGATATCAAAAAGTATCAATAATAACAGTATGTTTAATGTACTTGGTTATTTTTATTATATACAAAAATTTTCCTGTGAAGTAATACCACATATGTAAAACATAAACGTATAGCAAGTTCCTGAAATAAAGGGGGAGGGGTAGCTCACAGCGTGCTTTTGGCGTTTTGCACAAAATCAATAAGGATGAGACATCATTGAAGTATACATTTCTACATAATCTTGGTTAACACACTAACTTTCATATAAATAAAGTATGAAGATGACAACTTAAGGACTGATCTGCAACATGACAGGACCAGACACGCTGAATGAGTGAATGAATCAGACATGAATTTACTTACGTCTATAGATTCCCCCATGCTGAACGCATCAGCCATCCTTATATAGCACCAAAACGCCCTTTACAACCAAAATGTGAAAATTGGTACACACTTCTACACATTTCATGACAAAGTCAAGTTTCACATATTGCCCCACGTTTGTTGATTTGAAATAGTTTACGAACGCGCTTCAACTTGAAAACATTAGGTCCGCACCAAATACAAAATTTGCAGTTTCGAATAACAAAAGTGGGATATGTAGTTATGATAATTGACTAATTAATAACTAAACTGATAGTGATGTTTTTTCTTATTTTTTACATTAAATTATAATATATTTTTTATTAAACTGAAAAAAAATTAAAAACGGATATTACGGATTTTTTTTAGGGCGGGGGTAACACTAGTACCGCAATTCCCGATTCTCTCGGATTGTTTCTCCACTTCATTTATTTAGATTCGGTTTATGTAAAACTTTAAGGCAAGATTAATTTGTTAAACCAGGGACCTATATACTAAAGAAAGAATTTAGTATACAGGTCTCTGGTTAAACAACATTTACAACATATCAATATTGCTAAAATGGCTTTTATTAAGAAATTCAGGGACCTTTAAACTAACGAAAAAATTGATCAATTCCTCTTTATGTTCATTTGTACAACATGATGCACGTTTCATGAATTTGTGGAGTCAATATATGTATATCTTATAGTAAAATAAGTAAAGATAACCTTGGGCCCCCTCCCAAGAGAACACGGACGCTTTTAAGTCAGTATAAATGAAAGAAAACGCCCCAGAAATAGGTTTTTCACATTTGGGCAAGTAGTTTAGTTTATTTTTATTTGTTTTTCTTTACTTTTTTCATTGCAACAAAATTCAGGACTAGATTTGCACTGGGGCGGATCTCCCTGACAAAAATTCCTGGATCCGTGCCTGCGTTTACTCCCCCTTCCCATATTCGTATCAACATCAAAAGTTAAGACTTAAGACATAATTTTCTCAGCCATCTAGATTGTAATTGGTGAATTAAATTTTATTCTGAGTATCATCTTTTCAGTTCAAACAGGGAAAAACAAAATAACCTGTTCTTGCAAGCAAATGTGAGCTTGCAAATGAGTTTGAAATTTACCTTTGATATGCTCGTATAATGAAACTGACATTTACCCCTGAGATATATAAATGAATCATGTATTTTTTTTTTTTAGAATGGCATTTAAAATACATTTTATGACATTGTAATTTCAGAAACAAAGGTTGATACCCGAAATTTTGGCTCAATTTGGCAAATTGAAAATGTAAAGTTGGTTTTATAATTTATTCTGAGATTGCAGAGTAATTCGCTTTCCGTTAACCTCTGTTCCTCACAAAGTTACCACTCGTGAACTTTTTATTTACTTAGGTGAAGGTAAATGTAAAATTTACAGTATGATAACTTTTTCAACCATTAAATTAAAAATCTGCTATAATATGATACTTTTATGAATATACTCCCATCGCAGGAGACGCGGGACATTCTTTGAATCAATGTACATGTAAATTCCTCTTTGACATGAATTTAGCCACATTAAAGATCACACAACCCGAATAGTGCAATTAAGACAATGTGATCAGAATCAACTACATGTACAAATCTAAGGCGTGCATCCTTGGCGACGAACACAGTATATGCTATGCCATACTTTGGTGGTGCTGTTGTGTGATTAGCAGAAAACGGAACCAAAGACATGTACATGGCTGATGATAATCAAATTGTGTATAGTCACCGTAAAACACGGCATTCTATATTCTGAGTGCCTGGCCTTGGGTGTTTGACTTTTTATACCTGTAAACATGCATGCATCTACTGTGTTTGTTTTATTATATCTTTTCTTTTCTTTTTATTGCAGAAACAGTTTTCTATAATATGTGCGGATCAAGGGATCGAGGAGATGATTGAGAGGTCTGATCAGATCCCCCTAGGATTTGAAGAAAACCGTAATTATTAATGTATGTATATTGTGCTAAAGCAAATTTAAAAAGATGACATGGGACCCCTAGTAAACTCGGACCCCCTAAAGCTGATAAGTTGGTAGGAAAAATTACACATATGCAGTTTAAGGTTATCCGAATCTCATCCAGGAAGGATAACTCTAAAAATTATTTAAAAAACAAAACCTCAGAATGAAGCTTAGAATTGAGATCTTTTCGAGCAATACAAGATTTTTGAAGTCTTGGAAACGACCTTGCAAAATGTTGATATATAAACCCAATAAAGTATAAAGTACAAAAATAAACACATTTTTTTTAGAAAGATCAATTTTCTTTCAATCTACCCTAGACACCAATGTTTACCCTGTAAAGGGGTACATATGAGGTTTCGGCTATGTACCATTAGGGGCATCCTCACAACGTAAGGGGTCTTGAGTCAACACGTTGCTGTTTAAGCATTGAATTCAGATTTTGGGATGTCGTCGGTCCTATAACACACCTGGCCGTGCCGACAAATTGAATACCGCGCGTTAGCGCGGACTGATACTTTGTCGGCACGGCCAGGTGTGTTATAGGACCGAAGACATACCAAAATATGAATTCAATACTTATATTTACATTCTTTAATTTTTCCTCTTCATAATTGTTTATTTCAGTAATCTTTATTGTGAATCTAGCGCCCTTCAAAACTGTTGTGCTTTATAGACGTAAGAGCCGTTTGTGACGTCGTAAATTTAAATAACGCAAACGAACGTTGCGAGGGAAAAAGTGACAAATTAATTTTAAATGCACTTTTGTTGTATTTCAACGTTAATTTAACGCTTATTTTTTTATTGAATTGTGTCAAACAATGTACCTTTTGGTGTTCATAAAGTATTGAACATGCAAATATTTCCTACTGTGTATTCTAACGCGCAGTTATAAGGTTTCGCGTGTGTAATAGATTTGAACGTCATGGATTTCTAATGGATTTTATAAAGAAAATTACACTGAATGTAAATATTATTCGGTTACGTGTTGACGCAAGACCCCTGACGTCGTGAGGATGCCGTTAGACGACAAGTGTTGACTCAAGACCCCTGACGTTGTGAGGATGCCGTTAGACGGCAACGTGTTGACTCAAGACCCCTGACGTCGTGAGGATGCCGTTAGACGGCAGCGCGTTGACTCAAGACCCCTGGCGTCGTGAGGATGCCGTTAGACGGCAACGTGTTGACTCAAGACCCCTGACGTTGAGAGGATGCCAGAATGCATTATACATAGAAGCAAACAAGAAAGTGAAAACAAGACAATGACAAGAGAGGGGCATTGAACGGAGAGGTGGATGCAGAACAGGCAGCAACAAAGAAAACATGGGAAACTTTGCAAGATCATCCACGTTGTGTTCGGAAGTTCAAGGGAGTACAGATGGGCCTCTCAAGAAAAAGGAAAAAATAATGACAACTGAGAAAAAACATGATAAAAATAGCCAAAGAACATTTCTAGGCAGTACCCAACCAACCCCCTCCAAGAAAACAGCAGACATTCCAGAGGTCACCGAGGACCTTGAATTATATACAGTATGGATCTAGCAGGGAAAGGAAAGAAAGTGGCTACCATAAGGACTCCCAAGAACAGGATAGCAGCTACCTTCATACAGACATTTTCGAGGTGGACTCTTGGCTAGCAGCCACCATTCCCCAGTCAATGTTCACAGCCAAATGGGAGAGGGAGAAAGAACCAGTATGACTGGACCAAGGGAATGATAGTCAAGATCACCAAGAAATGTGTCTTGAATGACTGTAACAACTAGAGAAAGACCAGCTTGCTTTCCTTGCTAAGTAAGGTCTTGGCTAACATGATTATCAAGAGAATATCAGGCGTTGTGGAAAAGTCATCGAGGAAAGAACAAGCTGGTTTCATGCTTGCAATTTAACGTACTGCTCTGATCTTCCCTTAACATCTTAACATCATTGAACACTGCACAGAGTGGCAGGGAGAAGTAACAAGTTCTTTGATCCCAGGACCGGCGTCAGGCAAGAATGGTTAATTTCAGCCGTTCTTTCCAACTTGGTCAAGGACTGATTCATAAGAAGAACAACAGAAACTATTTCAAGAGGAATCCACTGAATCCTCTTCTCAACGCTAGACCTGGACTTTGTAGCCGATTTGGGACTATTTCGAACACCCTGTCACCCACCTTTACCCACCGGTGCATGTCTGCAAAGACGGCAGTAGGGTTAACAATCAACATCAAAAATTACAGCAAGATTGGTACCAAACGTTGATGCCCCATCTTCTCTAGCCAGGAGTCCGATTCGTTTATCCTCGTGAAATGAGAGTAAACGAATTGGACGCTGCTTCTTTGAAAGTGGATGAAAAATATTTTCACCGAGTATTCTTATTTACAAACTTTGGAAGCATTATCAAACCTGACAGTGGTTATCTTCGCTAGTCAAGGATTTTCGGTTCGATCTGCCCCCCAAAAGTGGCCCGAAAACCCTTGACTAGCGAAGACGGAGGGTGGTGCTACAGACTAGGAAAGGCCGGGGTGTTTTCAGGAACATGAACAACAAATGGAGATCGGCGAAATATGCCATCAACACCAAGCTCAAGTTGCTTAGTATACTAGTATTAGAGCTGCACCATATCTACATTTCTGTGTTAATTAATCCGAATGCTGGAGGATGATAGAAGCTTATCTTACCAAGCTGTGCTCATTCCATATCACATAACCTCGCAAAATCTTACGAATATTCAATGGCCCTTTTCACAAAAACTCTTACGACTAAGATAAAAATTCCACAATTCTGTAAGATTTTGTTTTAAAGAGATATTCATTTTGTACTAAGATGTTATTTATAATTTTCACCATAACTTTTGAACCATAGGAGATAGAAACTTCATATTTGTGTGCATATTCCACTAATTAAGCTCTTTCGAATGACACCAAGGTCAATGACCTTGTGACCTTGACTTATATGCTAATAATAATTTTTTCGAACTTTGTTGTCGCCGGGCACGTGGTGTTTCACAAATACATATTGTTTTCTAAGATGTTATTTATAACGTTGTCTAAATAATGGATTAATTGTATATTGTTTAACCTCCCTCTCAAAAAATTTTCACTCATATGGAGACGCCACTTCTTGCCGGTGGACAGCTGCAAATTTTGTCCTATACTCGAATCTTAGGGCCATTGAGCTGGGAGGGATCTTTTTTGTGCCAGCACCTACCGGTATTGCGACACGGAAAGTCGGTCTA